GAGAAAAACAGGTGTGACCCACAACGACGGTGACGTCTACATCCCCTTTCCAATTTCTTCTGCTTTTTATTCGTTTCGTTGTTTTTTTTATTTACTTTTCCTGTCTTTTTTGCTTCTTTTTTTTTTTTGCCCTTGCCTCTCTCTCTTTCCTCGCCGTTGCCTTTGCACTTGTCCACTTCGTTAATCCTCCTTTGGCTCCCCCTCGATTTCTTTTTGTTGTTGTTGTTTTTATTGCTCTTCGCTTCTCTTTTCTTTTCGTTTTGTTTCCGTTTTTGGGGCCGCTGCCGCACCTCGCCTCTTTGCGGGTGGTGTGTGGGGGTTCTATGTGCATCGCGCGCGTGCGCCGCGGCGCCCCCCCCCCCCTCCCTTCAGCTCTGCAGGTGGGGGTACTGCTCCTGCGGCTCGCCGCGGAGGGCGCGGCGGACGGGGTCGAAGAAGGGGTGCTGCATCGCGTCGGCGGCGAGGATGCGCTCCTGGTGGTCCATCTTCAGCATCTTGTCGAGCAGGTCGAGCGCCTGCGCGTCGCACCACGCGGCACAGCGGGGGTTGACGAAGGAGTGCCACGGCCGCTTCGTGCACTTCCGCACCCCCCCGCGCGCCAGCTGGTGCCGCGGCAGGTGAATGCCGTACTTGCGCGTGTAGCGCAGAAGGTCATCCGTGCCGAGCACGTCTATGATCTGGAAGAGCTGGTCCTCGTTGTTCTCGCCGCGGAAAAAGGGAAAGGTGCGGAAGAGCATCTCGGCCAGGATGCAGCCCACGCCCCAGATGTCCAGCGAGTAGTCGTAGAGGCGGAGACCAACGAGCAGCTCCGGCCCCTTGAAGTGTCGCGTGCCAACGCAGAGGTTGTAGACCTGGCCGTGGATGTAGTACTCGCCTAGCCCCCAGTCCGCGATGCGCAGCTTGCGCCGGCTGTGGTCGATGATAATGTTCTGCGGCTTAATGTCGCGGTGGAAGATGCCGCGGCTGTGCGCAAAGTGCAGGCAGCGCAGCACCTCGTACAGGTAGTAGCGCATGTCAAAGTTGCTGAGCCTACCGGAGGCCATCAGGCTGCGGAAGTTCTCGGCGGGCTCGACGTTCTCCGTCACGAGCGCCGGGGTCCCGCCGGGCGGGATCGAGACGACGTCCAGCAGCCGCAGCACATTCGGCCCACCGCAGAGGTTCTGCAGAATCGTAATCTCGCGGTGTATCTTCTTCAGTCGCACCGGCTTGAGAATCTTCAGGACGCAGAGCTCGCCGTTGTGGCAGTTGCGGCTGCGAAACACCTCCGAGTACTTCCCACGGCCAATTTTTTGTATCAACTCGTAGGGCTCCCCGCTGCTGTACTCAATCTTCGCCCGCTCGTAGTCCCAGTAGGCGGGCGGCATGCTGCTATTGACGAACCAAAACGGATGCACAAACTTCCGCTCCCCGTGATGCCCGCTGTCACTCGCGGAGAGGGCGTTGTTGGAGCCAGCAGCTCCCTGCTCGGCGCCGCGGTCGGCGTCCCTCGCTGTGGTCTCCGGCACTTCAAGGGGGTGCCTGCCCTCCGGCCGCCGCCCCGCCTCCCGCGCCTGCCCGCCTGCTGTGCCACGTCGGCTGCTGGAAACCGAGTCCGCCATGGCGGCTGGTGCCCCTGCTTCCCTGATTGCAGGTGTATATATATATTATATATTGCCACGATTGCCGTATTATTGCGGCTTTCTTGTCCTCCCTCGCCCGCTCGCTCTCCCTTTCACTGTGCGTGCGTGCGTGCGTGCGTGCGTGTGGGAGTGAGAAAGAAAGAGAGGTGCGGTGGGTTTCCTACTCCTTTTGTTTTTTTTGTATGTGTGAATATGCGCGCTGGAAGACCGCAGCAGACGCGTGCTTCGACACGCGCACTCCACGCAGGCGCGCAGTGCGTCAAACTCACGCGCAGCAAACAAGCGCGAGGGCGCTAGAAAAAGAAGGGAGAGAGAGAGAGAGAGAGCGCGGCAAGCAAACAAAAAAAAACAGCAAATGACTATAATAATACTAGAGGCAGCGTGTGGCAGGCGCAGGACGCCTCACGCACGCAACTGTGTGCAGGACCCACCTTCCCGCGTCAACCGGCCTCTTCGCTCTATCTCCCTCTATGTACGCATGTGCACACGTCGACGCAACCGCGCTGAGAACACGAGCAACTACTACTCCCCACCGCACGCCACCGCAGCCCACTCAGCCCATGCCTGCTGCTCGTAATGGCAGAAAAGAGCAAGAAAAAAAATAGTAATAACACTGGTAGAGCGCCTACACGCCTCAATACAAGCAGGTCAGTGCATCTCATGTATGAGAGGCAGGCGAGATCAAGGCGTGTAATGAGATGGGGATACAACTATAACGGCGGCATCGAGGCCATGTCAGCGTCACCGCGGCTGCGTCGCCCAGGCGTGGTTCACCTGCGTCACCGCCGTCAGCTCGTCAAAGTCGTCCGCCTCATCCTCGTCCTCGTCGTCCTCGTCGTCCTCGTCCTCGTCGTGCCGGCCGAGACCGCCCATGACTTCTGCTGTGTGGGGGGCCCACCCGCCGCCGTACGGACTCGCAGCGATGTCAGGCAGAAGCGAATCCCCCGCAACTTCGGGGTCGCCTTCCACGTCACGGACGTCCAACTTCTGCAGCCGCTCAATCTGCCGCTCAATGTCGCGCATCAACACCGACTTGCGTGCCGTCGATGCCGGCGCGGCGGCGGTGGTGGCGCCGCGTACCGGGGTGACGGTGCCTCTCGCATCACCCTGCAGCACCGACGTGGACGGGGACGCGTACGACGCACGCGCCGTGTCCGGTGTGCCTCCTTGCGTCACCGCAGTCACGGACGCCGAACCCTCGCGCGACTGCGCGTCTCGGTCTTCCGGCGTCAGCCACTGGCCCTGGCGCTGGAGGTAAAAGGCAATCGGCTGCAGCAGCGGAATAAGATTGCCGGCGTGCAGCGCCACCTCGTCCGCCCGCGGCAGTGGCGCGGGGGGCGACGGGGTGGTTCTACCTTCGCCGCCGCCGCCGCCGCCGCCGCCGCCCGCGCCACGCACCTCATCGTCGTCGAAGTAGATGAGCAGCGGCAGCTTCACGGCATCCGCGCCGTAGGCGTCAAACCACTGAATGAACTGCGAGAGCGCGTGTACGACGCCCGGCATGATGTTTGCGATGGCATCGTGCAGCAGCCACCGCCGCGCCTTGGCGGCCTGTGGGGTGACGGCAAACACTCTTTTCAAGCGCTTGCCGTGCGTCACGGCCCGGCGCCGCGTGTACTGCAGGGCCTCCCTTGTGAGTTGCGGGTACGGGATGTAAAAGTAAAACAAATCCTCCTCCTGTAGCTCGTTGATGGACCAGGCGCGTGTATTTACGCCCAACAGACCGAGACTTGAGACCTGCTGCTGCCGCCGCCGCTGCGGCTGCGGCGCAGATTGTGGCTGTAACCGCGGCGGAGGCACAGCGGCATCCTGCGCCTCCTGCAGGATCTTCGCTATGGTGCGCTGGGCCTCGCGCCGGCCTTGGCGCCGCACCATGCCCTTCTCCGCAGTCGCCTGGTACACGGCGGTGCGGCTCAGCAGCGAGGTCGGGTGCGGGGTGTAAAACTGTGCGAGGTCGCAGAAGAGGCGCAGGCCGCGGTGGAACCGGAGAAAGAGCCGCGCCTCCTCCGCGGTCAGCTCGGCCGCCGGGCCGTCAGGCACATCCCGGACACACTCGCCCACGGAGCCTGCGCCGTTCGCTCCTGCAGGGGAGACGTGACGCCCGCGTCCCCGCAGGGGGCGGTCTCGTCGGGAAGGAAAAAGAAACGACTTCGCCATCGGTGGCTGCGGCCCCGCGGCCTCCTCACGCGTGGCGCCTCCGCTCGCGTCCAACATGTAAGTTTCGTAGTAGCGGGGGGCTTTGCCCGCGACGGGGGCAAGCGCCTCACGCAGGCCATCGTCATCGGCTGTGCAGCGCAGCGCGGCGGCGAACTGCGTGGCGGCGGCCGCGTCCTCGGTGGCAAACTTGAAGGTGTAGTGGATGGCGTAGCTAAGCACAATGAAGGTGAGCCGCTGCAGCCGCTGCCGTTCTGAGGCCGCGAGCGAGGCAGGCAGCACACCCTCCTCCTCCTCCTCCTCCCCCCGCCACCTCGCCGCCTCGGCTTCCCTGCTGAGGTCGTCCGCTGCATCCGCGCTGCCGGCACCGGCCTCGGCAACCCCCGCCGCGTCCTGCGCGCGGGACGCCGGGGCGGGGGAAACCCGCTGCAGCTCCCCGCGGTTCCACCGCGACTCCTGGGCGGTGAAGAGGCTGTGCACGGCGGCCCGCGAGGGGCGGTCCGGCGTGTCCCACGCGACGGCCCCCAGCGTGTTGAGCCGCCTGCCGGTGACGTCCACAATCGCCGACACGCCGCCGCCCCCTTGCGCGGCAAAGTACGAGAGAGAGACGAGATTGAGGTTAGAGATGAGCGCCGAGCGCGTCTGCTGCGCCTCCAGGTGGTGGTGGCAGAACTCGGCGGCGAGCAGCTGGCGCGCCCGCGGGTCCTGTGCGAGGCACAGCCCCACCAGAATCGCCAACTCCACCGCCAGCATCAGCGCCGCCTCGTCCACGCCGCCGCCCTCGCGCCCGGTGGGAGTGTCACTACCGCGGCCACGCCCAGCACCATGCAACGCGTCATCGCCGCCGTGCCCTGCGCCAACAAACGTCGCCAATCGCACACTCGTCTTCAGCAGCCGTGAGGAGGAGGGAAGATGCTGCACGAGGAAAAAGGCCGCATTGCGGTAGTAAGGGGCGTGCTGCACAAGCAAGCGTAGGCAGCGCGCGGAGAGGCAGGCGACCGTCGTCCCTGCAACAAAAGCTTCAGCTGCACTTGGGCCTCCGGCGCGGCTCTGCTGTCGCTCCTGCAGTGGGCGGTAGCTCTGCTCCAGCTGGCGGGGTTGGCTCTCCCCCGCGTGGCTCCTGCCTGAGGGGGCCTTCGTCTTGCGGCTGCCGCCGGACGGGGCGGCGGCGCTGGCGGTGGCGTCGCCGATAAGTGCCGCCAACGCACGGTCCGCAAACAACGCCAGCAGCAACTCGCAGACGGAGGCGTCGTCACATTCGTCACCTCTTGCATCCAGGCAGGAGGCGTCATCCACGGCGCTGTCGCCCGCATCCGTCAGGATGAGGGTTTCAAGGAGGCACAGCGTGGCACACAGGGCGTCATGGTGGCCTTCACGCCTGAGCTGCGTGGAGCAGAGTGCCGTTAACTCTTTTCTTAACCCGAGAGACGCCCACTGCGCGGGTGTGCAGTGGCGGAGGACGACGTGCATGGTTTCTATGCACAAGGCACGTAAGTCGCCACTTGAGTCCGTCTCGCCAATTCGCAGCAGGACATCAAAGACCTCGTCGCCGGCGAGGCGCGCGTAGTGCGTGTTGGCGAGCTCCCGCAGACACGCCGCGAGGTGAAGCCGCAGCGACAGGCACAACTCTGGCAGCGTCGCGGCGGCCGCCTCCACCTCAGTGAAAGTTGTGTTGTGCGACGACCACGTCTCCTGCGCCGGCGGAGCATCCTTCGTGGCGTTGCCGACGGACGCGTGCGTTGCCGCGGTGGCGGTGTACGCCTCGGTGGAGGTCAGCGCCGCCAGGAGGAGGCCGAACGGCCCCGGGCTGCTGAGGACATCACGCACGTGGGAGTCGGCGGCCCGCGCCGCGCCGCCACCGTCGCGCAGGAGCATAACGAATAGCAACCGCGCCGCCGCCAGGCGCACCGTCACTGGGAAGTCGTCGCACAACAAGTCCGAGACGATGCCGACGGCGCCAAGGCGGTGGAGGAGGTCCGTGCAGGTCGCGGAGAGCTCCAGCGCCTCCAGCGCAGCCGAGGCGTCCGGCCGCAGCTGCCCAAACTCTTCGGACGAGGCGCAGCACGCGAGCACCACCATCTGCAGCAGCTGCAGGGCGCCGTGGAAGAGGCGGCAGACGGCGTCCCCGTCGGTCATCATGTGCGGCGCCTGCAGAATCGACAGCACCGTCGCCAGCAGCTCCGGCCTAATCTCAAACACGACACGGCGCAACGCCAGCAGGCTCCGCTGCTGCGGGTTAGCCGCGGGCGTGCGCCGCGCTTCGTTCGCCACCGCCCGCTCCTGCCGTTCACTGCAGGGAACGCCGCCGCCGCCGCCGCCGCCGCCGCCGCCGCCCGGCAGGCCCGCGGCGTAGTGCGCGACAACCCCCCGCAGCAGCTCCATAAACCCGGCGCC